CCAGAGTTTTCGCCTAGCCAGGCGCCGCGCGTCTCTTATGGGCCCCTGGCCGCACCACCACCGCCCGTGGCTGGTCTAGAAAAACGCAGCCGGGCCCGACCTCGTAGGACGTGGATGGGAGGCCACCAGGAAACCCGGGCTGGAGGGTAGAGTGGGAAGTTGCCAAACAGCCCAGAGGAAAGCAGTGGGGCAGCACTTGGCCGGCCAGGGGTCAAGTGCGACCAGAGGGGGCTTTTGGTCTTTTATTCACGGTGTGTCTTTGGAAAGCTATAACGAAACACAGAGAAACGTCTAAAAAAAAAGTGGCGTGTTGGATGGCCCGGGAACATAACCAGGGAAAATAGGCGTAGGGTGCAGGAGAAGAGAACGGCGCTCTTCACAAGCTCAGAAACACTTGCTTCTCTGGCAGAGTTTGCATCAGCGACTTCCCCGTGCGTGCAATCTCTCTGCTTTCCCTGGTTATGTTCCCGGGTCATTCAGCACCCCATTTTCTTTCTTTTTAAGCCGGGGAGCGGGGCAGCGGCTCCCCCTTCCTCCCCAGAAAATGTGCCAGGAGCTGGGCCTCTTCCCCGCCCCTCTGAGACCCTGGGAAAGTCTTCCACACGCCCCGGTGTCAAAGGTCGCCTGTTCTTTGACGACCCCCCGGGAGGGACAGCTTCGCACCTCGCGGGAAGCTCACACGAGCCTTCACACGCCCCGCGCGCCCGCCGGCCCGCCCGCAGCGCAGTTTGGTGGGCGACAGCTGGGCGGAGGGGGAGTGTTGCACGCGCGTGTGAGATGGGCGAGCGAGGGTTGAATCCGAATCGCGGCGAAGCCAGCCCGCGAGCCCGAGAGGGAGCGGGGGACCTTCCTTCCTGGGCCCAGATGTGCAGAGTGGCGTCCGGAGGGATGGGATGGGCGAGGCGCATTTTGTACTTGCTCAGAGGCACGGGATTCTTGAGTCTTGCCGGCCAGAGAGGTTCGGTGTGGCGGAACCTTTATGAACTGTAAATAAAACTATCCGGCAGAGCTGAAAGCGTTTGGAGCATCGCGTCCTTTGCTTTGGACTCCCCGCCACACCCGCTTAGGCAGAGGGCATTTAGTACATCTTATGCTGCAAATGTACTAAATGAATGTTTTTAATCAATACTCCTTTTTCCCCCAAAGAGAGGTTTCATCTTCATAGCTTGGATCACGCTGGCTTTTTTATTCCATCAAAGGGGCCATCCAGCTGTTCTTCACGGCGCATTGGTGGTTCAGTGGTAGAATTCTCGCCTGCCACGCGGGAGGCCCGGGTTCGATTCCCGGCCAATGCAACGATACTTTTGCTGCTGTTTTGGTCATCTGTTGGGCTTCCATTCCTTTCCCTTTGCTTATGCGCTCGTATACTGACTTTAAGAACGAATTCCGTTCCCAAGGTCTGTCCTGGAGTCGAATTTGTATGTAAGCCGGAACAGTATTATTGTATAATGAACTCGAATCATGGTATATTTAACTCGAATTTTGCTACAATAGACTCCATTCTTAACTATGGGTCGTCTGTAAGCCCGGGCGTTCTTAACCGGGGGACTACCTATCTGTTTCCTTTCCGTCTGATTTTATTTTTAATTCACTTGTAATAAAAAATATATTTTTTAAATTAACAGACCTCTGTGGGTCTAGATGCACAGAGGGAAGAGAGCTGGGTAAACATAATTCCCCTTTGAAGCACCTCATTTCTGGCAAAACGTATTTTTCCAGAAAAGTGGACCCCTAGGTCAAAATGCCAGTTGCATTGGCCGGGAATCGAACCCGGGCCTCCCGCGTGGCAGGCGAGAATTCTACCACTGAACCACCAATGCATCTCCTACAGATGTTGCTGACGATTCATCCTCTTACTGTGCACCTCTGTCATGCTTGTCTTTCCTTTTTTTCTAATCCTGAAAAAGAGGATAAGTTTCCTTCAACTGGACTTTCATTCCTGATGACTTCATGGACTTGTCCACGCAGTTTCCTTGGCCACACTACAAGCCCAAATGTAGTCTGCCACTGGCTTCTCTCGCACACGCACGCACACGCACACGCGCACACCGAGTCTTCCAGATGTAGAATGGTCTCCTATCCAAATACAAATACTTGTCGGTTAGCAAGGTTCAAAGGCTTCAAATCTCCAGGGCCGAAAGACCCTAACGCTAACTCCTGACTGGGGGGCGAGGGGTTGAGTTCCCACGGCAGACCAACCAGCAAGCCCCGCGGCAGCTGAGCCGGCCGTGCCACCCCCCCGTCGCCCTAATTTCGAATTTAGAAGCGCCGCGCCAGCCGAGAAACCCGGGCGGAGTAAACCACGGGTGCGTCGTGGGAACGCGCACAGGCAACGCCGCGCGGTGGGTTTGGCCAAGATAATCTTAAGCATCGGGGCTTTCTCCAGAAGAAAGCGAGATGAGGCTTGGGAAAAAGGAAAATGGGAGGGAGGGTGGGAAGATTGGGTAAGACATTCAGCTCCCTCCCAGCCTCCCTCGATTCC